CAGGAGCAATGAAAAAAAAACACGGAGATCTCAAATATCCCGGCTCCGCAAATGGCAATTTTCCATCCCCCTTTCCTCCTCCATCCGTGGAGCGCTGGGGCTCGCCAGCTTCCCGCCGGACGCTCTCTCCCGCCTCCTCCCCTCCAGAGATATTTCGAAAGCATCGTCATCGCAAACAACTGGTTTGAGTTTGGGTCCGGGGCGACCATTTCCCAGGATTTCCTCCGCAAACCGTGCCAAGGAACAGCGAACTTCACAAAAACACATCGCCTGAGGTCGCTTACCCTGCCCCAAAATTCCCTCGGCGGGGGGATTTTTGCCTTTATTTGGCGCGGTCTTTGGACGCGCCTGGCAAAACGCGACCGATAAAACCCTCGCAGCAACCATCTGGGGGGCGGGGAGCATCTCCCAGCTGGAATTATCCCTTAAATCCCTCCAGAAATTGAACTAATTTTTAAAATTTAATCCTTCATCTCTGTTTCTTTTAATTCTAAGGCAGCACCGGTGCTGGGTATCGGCACTGAACGCCCGGTGATGGGCTGCGCTCGTCTGGCGGCGGCATTTTGCAGATTTTAAGGCTTAAATAGATACAAAAGTAGGGTGTTTTTTGGGGGAAAAACTCACCATTTTATGGTTGGGAAGGGGAGAAGGGAAAATCTCAGCACTGGGTGCTGCGGAGACGCTGCTCAGATATAAAACCGCCCATAAATGTTTCATTTTAAAGACAAGATTTCGGGTTCAAGGTGGAAAAGGTTTTTTGAACCCGTGGTTGATGATTCCCGCCATCGCAGCCCGGATCCGGGGGATCCGTGGGTAACGGAAGAGAAGGAGAGGGGAAGAGGAAGGTCGCAGGGGACGCGGTGAAGAGCGTGGTGGCGACTAAAATGCCGCTGGGGAGCCGGGGTTCTGGGAGGAGGAGCGGTGAGATTCCTCGGAGCGTCGCAATGCCAGGCTTGGGTGGTCAAGGATTTGGATGGACATCTGTGGCTCTGGATGGGCGTCCACGGATCCGGATGGGTGTCCACGATTTCAGATGGGCGTCCACGGATCTGGATGGGTGTCCATGATCTGCATGGGTGAACACGACTCCAGATGGGTGTCCACAGATCCGGATGAACATCCCCGGCTCCGGATGGGTGGTCATGGCTCCAAATGGGTTTCTGTAGCTCCAGTTGGGCATCTACGGCTCCAAAATGGCGTTCGCAGCTCTAGATGGGCATCCATGGCTCCAAATGAGCGTCCATGGATCCACACGAGCATCCACAGCTCCTGACTGGTATCCACAACTCCAGATGGGAGTCCGCAGCTCCAGATAGGCTTCCATGACTCCAGATGGGTGGTCACAGCTCCAGATGGGTGTCCATGACTCTGGATGGGCATCCACAGATCCAAATGGGTGTCCGTGGCTCTGGATGGGCACACACAGCTCTGGACGGGCATCCCACGGCTCAAGATGGGCATCCACGGATCCCGACGGATGCCGAGAGTGGATCCACCTTCCAGAAAGACCAAGACTTGATGTCGTCTTCCATCAAGAGGGAAAGTGCTTTGCAGGACTTCACTGCTCGTCCCGCTGATGCTGGAGAAGAAAGCAGGGACAAGCGGAGATAAGTTTCTCCAGCAAATGCTCCCTATGGATAAGACACGTCCGGGTGCAGCTCCTGGGACACGGAGCCCCCCGATTTCTGTCTCATCCTATTGAATCAGGATAAAAGCGCTCACGGGATGACAAAGAAAACCCCAAACTGGGAGAAGCCCGCAGAGCGCAGGTGTTGGGTGGGAAGAGAGGAGAAAAGCTGCGGACTAAGACAGGATCAGGAGGGATTAAGCATCAGTTCCCAAAAAAAGCTGCGTCTTGCCCGAGCGCATCTCTCCTCTGTTTTTGGGTGGGAAGAGAAGCTGCTACGGCTCAACCACGACCATTGGCTGCTCCAAACCCCACTTCTTCTCCAGGGTTGCTCCTTCGGGGAAGATGGTCGCACTCTTCTCCATCCACCCTCCGACGTGCCACAACCCAGTGGTTCTCGCTGGAGAGCTTTTTCGGCTTTGCCATCGTTCTTGGGACAAGCCGAGTATCACCACAATGAACCAAGGCAAGATCTTGGCGCAGGAGGGGTGAATCCCACCACTTGAATCACCCAATCAACCCCACCCATGGCTGAAACCATCTGCCGGTGAATGGCTGCTTTGGGAGACACTTCACCAAGAAGATGAAGCCAACAGAGACCGTGAGTAGTAAAGCCACGACGGTCCCGGGGGGGGAACACCCGGTGGCATCTGTGATTTCAGAGATGCAACAAGCTTGGCTACCCAACCGCAAGATGAACCTTCTTCATCGTTAGAAGATGGCTGTTGGGTTACAGTTGGCATCATGGGGTTCGGCATCTCCCCGGTGAGCAAGAGCACTGAGAAGTCCCAGCTCACCTCCGCCCTGACGACATTTTGTGCTGGCCACAGATGTCTTCACCAAGAAGACGAAGCCAACGGAGACCACGCGTGGTAAAGCCACAACAGTCCCCAGGGGGATCACACAGTGGCATCGGTGATTCCAGAGATGCAACGAACTTGGCTACCCAACTGCAAGATGAACCTTCTTCATTGTTAGAAGATGGCTGTTGGGTTACAGTTGGCATCATGTGGTTTGGCATCTCCCCGGGGAGCAAGAGCACTGAGAAGTCCCAGCTCATCTCCGCCCCCAACAGCATTTCACGCTGGCCACAGATGTCTTCACCAAGAAGACGAAGCCAACAGAGACCGTGGGTGGCAAAGCCACGATGGTCCCAGGGGGATCACGCGGTGGCATCAGTGATTTTGGTGACGCCAACCCCACCAGAGGATGAAGCTTCTTCACCACTGAAGACAGTTGTTGGGTTACAGTTGGCGCTGAGTGGTTCAACATCTCTACCGGCATCTCCCCGGGGTGCAAGAGCACCGAGAAGACGCCCCAGCCCATCTCTGACCCTGACGCCGTTTCACGCTGGCCGGTTAAATCTCATCTGCGGGGTTAAAAATCACCGGGACTAAAGAAAAAGGTAATTCCCATGATGTCACTTCAAGGTGTTTTGAGAGCAGCAAGGCTGAATCGGTGCAGGAGGCTCCACTCCCGCCGGCGTGTCGGCAGCCACGTGTATATACTTTATTTTTCCCTAAATCCTCATCTTTTACTCCCACCCAAATTTACCCGAAATAGTAAAACACCGACCTACGGTTCACTATCATCATCATTTCCACATTACTGGGTAAAATTCCATGATTATACAAAAAAGTGCATTTTCTGGAGCAAGCCACTTTATTGATTTTATTCTTTAAAAATAAAAATATCAAAGCTATACAATTTTTCTCTTTTTTTTGGGGGGAGGGGGAAGCAGCTGGTGGTTACATGGCTGTGAAAACCCGAAGCATGCAGAGAGAATATAAAAAATAAACAGATTTCTATATTTATAGCAGATCAAAGTTAAGCAGGGGGAAAAAAAAACCCTAAATAAAAGCGGTTATGGAAACAGTTTGTTTGTAGTTAAATTCATCCCCCTTCTCCAACAGGCTGGTGAAATGAGGAATAAAATAGATCTAAAATTACAAGTTGGCTAAAAACATGCAGTTACACAGTCCAATAAAATCACGATCCCACATCATTCCCCCTGCGTCTCCTGGGAAAATAACAAACTTCTTTGGGGAAAATACTATAAAAATGCTAAAAGTGAACTGTGTTCAAAAAAACCCCACCCAAAAAGCAACTTCTTTATACAATATTGGTTATAAATGTATTTTTTTACATACAAAAGGGAATTTCTATGAGGTTTTAGGGCAGCAAAGCCGCAACAGGGCCTCCTGGATTCAGCAAGGGATGTTTTTATTTGGTGGAAAAGATGAATTTGAACTAATTCTGCTCTTGGAGATGGGAGCGGAGGCTCCGTCTGCCCTACAGACCCCACAAACCCCCCCTCCCAAATCGGGGACGCCGGTGACCGCGGCGCTGCCAGAGGAACGACCCCATTGGCTGTTCTTCTCCAAATCCCACTCAATACACCAAAATTTGCCTCATTTGACCCAAAGGCTGCTCGACGGGTCAACTCCACTGCGCCAAAGACGCGGCACCGGTGGCAAACCGGGCCGCGGCGGTGGAACCGTGAGACGCCGTCCGGCACTTGAGGGTCTTGTTGGTGAAACTCAACCTCAAGCCCAGTGCTCGGGAAGCGTTTCTGGGGTAAAACTAAAGGGATTTGGGGTTTTCTCGGCACTGTTACCGGCACGGCGGTGTAAAGCCACGGGATGCCTCGCTGCCCGACTCCCTGCCTGCACGCCAACGATGGCCTGAGGTTCTTCTAAGCCAAGGTTTAACCGGCACGGCCGCGGTTCCTGCCTGTATCTGTGCCGTGCTGCCTTGCCGTGGGCGAACGCGGCTAAGCCGAGCCTAACGGATCCCCGCTGTCTCCCGTTGAGCGTAAAAGGTGGCGAGGAGCCAGGGGAAGACTGGTGGCAGGGCAACGAGTGGCACGGAGTCCTTCCTACCATACACCACGGCCTGGAAACCGAGCCTGGGCACGGGGCGCAAAGGAGCAAATTATATCCAAAAGGCACAAATCTACTTGCAAAATAAATCCATGGTTGGGTTAAATCGCTCCATCTCTCTCTCCAAGGAACACGGATCGAGCATTAAAGCTCACTACAATTACCCGGCGCGTGGCAGGCGTGGGGTTACCTCGGTGGCTGGGACGGAGCTGCGCCAGCACCCACAGCTGCGGGTACCTGCGGGTCAAACCTGGGTGCCTGCGGCTTAAATCTGGGTACCCCGAATTAAACTCCAGTGTCCGTGATTTAAACCTGGGTATCTGGGAATTCAGCCTTGGGTGCCTGCGGATTAAATCCGGGTACCTTCGAATTAAAACTGGGTTTCTTTGAATTAAACTCCAGTGCCCATGATTTAAACTTGGGGCATCCAGGAATTAAACCTGGGTGCCTGCGGATTAAATCTGGCTACCTCAAAATTAAAACTGGGTGCCTTCAAATTAAACTCAAGTGTCTTGTCATTTAAACCTGGATATCTGCGAATTCAACCTGGATATCTGGGAATTCAACCTGGCTACCCGTGGATTAAACCTTTAAATTAAACCCAGGTGCCTGCAAATTGAACCTGGGTAACTCTGAATCAAACCCAGGTAACTCTGAATTAAAGCCGGGCACCCACAAATTAAACATCCTTACCTGCGGATTAAACCTGGCTACCTGCGGATTAAGCCCTGATACTTTCGAATTAAAGCTAAATAGCTGTGAATTAAACCCAAGCACCCGCGATTTAAGCCTGGGCACATGCAAATTCTGAGCACTGGTGAATTAAATCTCGGGTACCTGCAGATGAAACCTTTAAATTAAATCCAGGTGCCTGCAAATTAACCCGGGGTAACTTTGAATTAAACCCAGGTAACTCTGAATTAAACCCAGTGACCTATGGATTAAGCCTGGCTACCTGCAGATTAAGCCCTGACAGTTTTGAGTTAAACCCAAATAGCTGTGAATTAAACCCAGGTACCCGCGATTTCAACCTGGGCACATGCAAATTCTGAGCACTGGCGAATTAAATCTCGGGTACCTGCAGATGAAACCTTTAAATTAAACCCAGGTGTCTGCAAATTAAACGGGAGTTACTTGGAATTAAACCCGGGTACCCACAAATTAAACCTGGCTACCTGTGGATTAAGCCCTGATAGTTCCGAGTTAAAACCAAATACCCGTGAATTAAACCCAGGTACACGGGAATTCGGAGTACTCGCAGATTAAAACTCTGCCAACTAAACCCGAGTCCTTGGGAATTCAACCCGAGCACTTCTGAATTAAACCCCGGTACTTCTGAATTTAAGGAGGGCACCTCTGAACTCAAACCTGGGCACTTCTGTATCAAAGCTCGGGTTCCTGCCAACTAAACCCAAGCACTTGGGAATTCACCCGGCGTATTTCCGAATTACACCCAGGTACCTCTGCACTTAACGAGGGCAGCTCTGAATGAAATCACGGGTGCTCGCCAGTTGGACCTGGGCGCCTCCGGGATCTCCAAACCCACCCCGGGTGCTTTCGGATCAGACCAGGTCCCTGCGATGCAAACCTGGGTCCTTCCGGAATTCAACCCGGGTCCTTCCGAATTCAACCCAGGCACCCGGCTAATGAAATCCAGATATTTGGGATTTAAACCCAGATTTAAACCTCGGAATTAAACCTGCGAGACCTTCAGCCCCGCGACGCCACCAAGCCCCAGCCCGCTGTTACGTCCACGCCTCTCCTCTCGCAGACAGGACCCGTAACTCGTTAGCAGCAGCACCTAATTACTTGCCGACAGCGGCTCCGCGAGCCCAGAAACGGGTCCTCCACCTCCAGCGTCGCCGAGCCAGCTCCGAGCCCGACTTCTAACCCCGAACGGAGCGGCACCGCGCTGCCGCAGCCTGCAGCGAGCCGAGAAACCCAACACGCCTCAGGGAAATCCCAGAAGAAAAGCTACATCAGCGACCAGCAACTACCCCAGCCTCAGATTTCATCGCCGAAGTTTTAATCGCTGCTATTAATTAGCGCAGCTGTGGGATTTCCTCCCCCGACTGCTCTTTCAGGGCCTGGGCAAGCATCTCCTGGAATATCTGGGGGATGAAATCACCCCAGCGCAGCCGAGCGGTGACGGCGAACAGGCAGAGCCCGTCCGGTTTGCCGTGAAATAACCCAAAATCTGGTGCCTACCAAAAACCAGCCAGGTTTTGAGTTGCCCGAGCCCCGGGACGGCGGCGCTTGCCGAACCTGGCTACACCGCAGCCCAAGTTATTATTATTATTGTTCCCTTTGAAGCCTCCAATGTTCAGAGTTTCAGCAGACTTCCAGAAAAACGCTCCTGATTTAATAAAACGCCACGTTTAATTGCCAGCTACGCGGAGGGACGGAGACGTCGCCCGGATTCAAGCGGGCAAAGTAACAGTAATAATTCCGATTTTAAAGCTTTGGATTGCAAGAACACAAGAGACCGCTTGGGAGAGGCGCTGCCGGCAGCAAATCCACACTTTCAAGAGAGTAAAATGGAGTTACACTTAATTGCAATTAATTCTAGCTTACAATCCCACCACGTCTGCGTTTGCTTACACGCCTTGACATTACCCGCCTCGGGTTTTTTATGATAAACCCGAGCAAATGCAAAAATCGAGGCAAAAAAATCCACCTTGTCGACGTTCCAACATCCATTTTCAAACCACCAACACCTGTTTCACAAAGCGATCCCACCGGACAGCGGCTCCGTGGGCAAACAAAAGCCTCATGAATAGAAAATAAGCTCGTTAAGATGCCAAATCCTCTTAAAAATTGCAGGGTAAATTCTGAAGCTCACCAGCGAATTTTAAATCTAATTCTCCGCTTAAGCCAGCACAGGCGTTGCCATGATTGTTGTCCCGGAAAAAGAACAAATTTATGAATATTTCACAAAACTAACTGCCCCGTCCCGCTTGGGGTCGATAAAATAACGTCATCACGAACACACGGTGTCAAAAATACGTCCCATAACGTCTTAAAAGGTCCTTTAAAAGGTCTTAAAACGTCTTAAAGTGTCTCAAAAGGTCTTTTAAAGGGTCTTTAAATGTCTTAAAGCATCCTTAAAGGTCTTAAAACCTCTTCAAGCGTCTCAAAAGGTCTTTTAAAGGGTCTTTAAATGTCTTAAATCGTTGCAAAAGGTCTTTTAAAAGGTCTTAAAACGTCTTGAACAACCTTAAAAGGTCTTAAAACGTCTTAAAGCGTCTCAAAAACTCTTTTAAAGGGTCTTTAAACATCTTAAAGCATCTCAAAAGGTCTTTTAAAGGGTCTTTAAACGTCTTAAAGCATCTGAAAAGGTCTTTTAAAGGGTCTTTAAACATCTTAAAGCGTCTCAAAAGGTCTTTTAAAGGATCTTTAAACGTCTTAAAGCATCTTTACAGGTCTTAAAACGTCTTAAAGTGTCTCAAAAGGTCTTTTAAAGGGTCTGTTAAAGGGTCTTAAAACATCTTAAAGCATCTTAAAAGGTCTTAAAACATCTTAAAGTGTCTCAAAAGGTCTTTTAAAAGGTCTTAAAACGTCTAAACGTGTCTTAAAAGGTCTTAAAATGTCTTAAAGTGTCTTAAAAGGTCTTAAAGCGTCTTTAAGAATCTCAAAAGGTCTTTTAAAAAAGTCTTTAAATGTCTTAAAACGTCTTTAAGCATCTCAAAAGGTCTTTTAAAAGGTCTGAAAACGTCTTAAAACGTCTTTAAGCATCTCAAAAGGCCTTTTAAAAGGTCTTGAAACGTCTTCAAGCACCTCAAAAGGTCTTAAAATCTAACTTAAAAGAGATTGACTGGTAATGTTGGCAAATAGCAGGGTGGAGATCTACGGGGTATCAGGTGAATCCCTGCGGCCAAGGGTTTTCACTGGGTAATTTATCACAAAGGGGAGGAAAAACTGGTTTAGGAGAGCAAAAACCCATCGGCATTGGCAATTAATTGACCAAAAAGAGATGAATTCTCTTAATTAAGCTCCTACCCAAGGTGTTATGGGTCAGATTCATCCCCCGATGATGACAACTCCAGCGTAGACCGAGGGTATCCGTGCTGGGGCCGCGCTGGTTAAGCCTTTTCCGAGTACCAGAGCGGGAGCTCAGCCCGGATAACGTCGGTCTACGTCGGCCAAATGAACCCCTAACGCTCACAGCCCGGGCGGAAAACGCCGGAAAGACGTCGGATTTGGGGGGAAGCAGCCAAAAAAAAGACAAAAGAATTTAAAAACTCGTGAGAGCAACCCGCGCTTCCCCACATCCACCCAGCCACCGTTCGGGGAGAACCACTCCAAAAAACACCTCTCCTGCCCCGGCGGAAGCTGGTTTTGCCACCGCGGGAGGAGATTTTGGTGCCTTCGTAGGTTTTAATTAGCGCGGCTCGTTAAAACGAGCAGGGTTTGGCACCAGCGCATCCCAAATATGCCCACCTTAGACCACGTAATCCCACCACGGCGCTCCGGAAGGATCCCTGAGATCATTCCTATAAATCACCGCCCCAAATGCAACCCGGTGGAGGATCCCGCTATCCGGTTGAGGATCCATCATCAGCTTTGGGGGCGGAAAAAGAAAGCGAGAATTTGAACTAAATCGCCATTTTGGGCGTTGGAGGGGAGGGGTTTAGAGGGACAACTTGATGGGATCCGCTGGGAAATGAGACACCGGGATGAAGCCTCTGGAGCTGGGAAGAGTTGGCGTTGGCCAAGGTTACGGCTACGCGGTAAGGTGGGGCGGGGAAACCCCATCGGTTTATTTTGGTTGCCGCGCTTGCGAGCTTGGCAGAAACGAAGAGAAATCGGATAAAAAGGCGTTTAAGAGCAGAAATGCAGCAGGTTTGGCTTTCCCCCATCAACCAAGTGGAGAATTTAGCACCTAATAGTTTTATTTTCCACTTGCCGAGAGTCACCCTGAAACACTCCGTGTCAAAACCCTTCCACGTCCTTTAATTAAAAATACCCCAATCCTACTAAAAACACATTATAACAGCGAAATCTGTTCAAAGAGCTCAGATTCCGGGCTCCTTCCTGACAAACCCATCCCTAAAAAGGCGAGGATGGCTGCGAAGCGCTGCCCAGCACCAGCCCGAAGGCGAGTCCCATCAATCCTGCTTTATTTTTAGGGGTTTTGTTTAATTTTGGGGGGGATTTCTGCTCCTTTTCGCACTCCATTTTGCCCAACCCAGCGACGCAAAGAAATTCAGATTATTCTCCGCCATGCGTGCCACCCCGTTTCCTAACTGGGTGGAGGACGCTTAAGTCCTACCATTGACTGGGAAAAGCCCAGCTGAACCTCCGGAGGCCGAGCTGGGAGAGCAGCTCGGAAGAAAAACCATCCACGAGTGACACCGCGAGCGCTGCTGCCCAGACACCGCGGCGGCGACACCGGCGAGGAAAGCATCAATAATTAAGAACGGGAAAACAGCTTAATTTCAGCCCGGACCATGGTGGGACAAGGGAGATGGAAAGAGTTCATGTGGAGCAAAAGCCCCCTCCGGTGACTTAAAATGCTAAATTGAATTTTAAATCCTTTTTTTTTTGAGACCTGCCCAGAAAAATAAGGATTTTACACATACAACCCTGCTTTCTCAGTTCTTCCCTGTCCTCTGCGGCACAAGCGGGCGCGTGAGCACTTTTTATACCTCTCTTTCGAGGGAAAACCACTGCGTTTTTCTAAAGCGACAAATTCAGGCCGTTAATCAGACAAAGAGCGTTGGGGTTTTTTGCCTCCCATCCCAGCTCAGCAAGAAAAAGCTTCGGAAAAAGCAGCGTTCCCGGTGGAAGAACTGCCAGAGACATCGCTACTGCTCCCGAGCCCAAACCCCGCGCGGCCGCGTCGACTGGGGTTTTTTTCATTAGAAAAGCAAAAAAA